TGTGTGTGTGTGTGTGTGTGTGTGTCAAGTCAAGTCAAGTCAACCAGAAACACATCGGTATATACCAGAAGTTGGGTAGGTTGCACTTCAAAATAAAATACCCGTGATTGTTGCAAGACGCTTATAGACAAAGGTTTTTATTTTGAAAGAAATGACCCGCTCTTACATCCTGTCTGCGTGTTTACTGACGTGACTCTACTGATCAGTGACACCCACCAGAGGAGCAGTCAGAGACCCCAGTGGAGTCGCGCACTTCAACCAGATGCAAACAACCTCGGATTTCCTCTGAAACCAAATAATCAATCAACCCTCGTTTTTTTTTTCCTGCCTAGATTGCTCCATTTTATTTGTTGTTTATCTGTGTTTCTCTTTATGAAGAATGGGCTGCGCGATTTCAGGTCTGGCAGCAAAAGCGGAGTTTGGGGAGAGGAGCCCAGAGGAGGAGGAGGAGGATGCTGCTGCTGCGCGTCCGCATCCCAGCGAGCGTCACATCCAGATGATCAAGGAGTCGTGGAAAGTTATCCGGGACGATATAGCTAAAGTTGGGATCATCATGTTCGTCAGGTGAGATGCTCCACACTCACACTGTGACTGAAACACACGAGTGGAAATATATTGTATACATATTTAAGTTTAATGATGAGGAAATGTTGTGGCAGTAGATTTCCACAGATAGAGAGAGAGAGAGAGAGAGAGAGAGAGAGAGAGAGAGAGAGAGAGAGATGCCATATGGACAGGGAATAGACGTGAATCTGAATATGTCTCTCTGACATATAACTAGACAACAAATACGTAACACAACAAATAAGTTACATAAGATCTAGGTACACAACATGTAAGTAATACAACGTGTAAGTGCACAACATAAAGGTATGTAGTCAAAAAGGCACAGGTAGATGGATGGATATTTTGTGTCAATGGAGGATGTGCAAATAGTCAATAAGAGGTGGACAGTGCAAAAGGATTATTAGAGCAAAAATAATAGTACTACACATAATACAAAATACTTAGCTATAATTTAAAAAGATACTAAATGTGAGTAAAGAAAACTGAGTTAGAGAGCAGAAAGAAAACCTCGTGCACAAAAATCCATTTCACCCTCCATCTCTGTGACGTGTTGCACAAAAACACTGTGTGGTTCTGAGAGTTGAGATGTGGCAGAAACTCAGGATGCAAATGGTCTTTTTGTTCAATATAAGACAGATTTCAAATGTCTCCTTATATTGATTAGAACACTGACTTTACAGTTTGACCTTAGTGCCTCACATCTAGAGAAACCTCCAGTGTCCTGAAGGTCTGAACAGATCCCCCACCCCGACGCCTCGTGCCTGACCTTAACGCACAAACCACAAACTGCTCACATCCCTCCTTCACCTCCATCCCCGACCTCCACCCCGTCCCCCTGCTCCACCTCCTGACCCTCATCTTCCCACTGGAGGCTGGGGGGCACAATACCCCTCCTCCCCCTCTTATCACTTCATATCTCGTCTTCACAACATTACATAATAAACACACAGCTCCAGGTCTGCCATTGTGCAATACAACTAAAGACATTATAGCCATCAGGAAAAAGCATTTTATCAATTATGTTGATGCCCATGATGCTGTTCGTGCATGTGGGTATCTTTAGCCCTTTTGGGGGGGGGTAAAACAATTGAGAGAATATGGTGATAAAGGCTGGCGGACATTCAGGCTGCTGCTGGGTAAAGAGACCACCGGGCACATACTGTATCTTTGAGCCCAATTAATGCCATGTGTCCCTGGGCTGACCCCAAACGTTGATGGGGCATGAACTCAGTGTGTAAGCATGGACATCTATGGGCCTCTTGTGGGTCAGGGTCACTCCGAGACCCTCAGGCTGTCGGGGAAAGGTATCCCGTGACTGAACAGGAACTATGATAGTAAAAGAGCAAATGAGAATCACCTGCTTTTCATCAGCTGCTCATTCCCAGCTTCGCCTTATTGTTTGGCGAGGAGATGTTCCTCTGTTAAATCTACATAAGATAAGACGCTCTCCGTTCTCGAGTGCCAAATCAAGGTCTGAACCCTGCCAATTAAAATTCCTCCTGAGCTATATAGGGTGCTACATTGTCTGCATATGTTACGCATGCTTGCATGTGCGCCCATGTCGACAAGAGGCGCACAATCAGAGGAACAAAACCACGAGAGTGGTGGAGATGTGGATGAGAGAAAAGAGAGAGGGAGGGAGAGAGCAGCCAATTTCCCCCCCCTGTCTCATCAATGGAGCTGGTGCTGAGCGAGGGGGATGAATAGTGAGAACGCACATTTCACAGCTATTGTGCCCCAGAAAAAAAAAATAGAGAGACACAGTCATCCTGAAAAGATATTACACAGAGGTGCAAACATGGTGAGGCCGCCTGTTGAGTCACTGTCATTTAATCAAGTCCAAATACATCATTCTTTTAGATAAATAGAAGATATAAATATTTCAAATAAATAGAAATATATTTTAATCTACTTACATTTAATCATTTTATATAGAGTCTCAATATGAATGGTTAGATCTATGTGTCTTTGTATGTATGTATGTATGTATGTATCTATCTATCTATCTATCTATCTGTCTGTCTGTCTGTCTGTCTGTCTGTCTGTCTGTCTGTCTGTCTGTCTGTCTGTCTGTCTATCTAACAGTCCATCCATCTATGTATTTATCTATTATCTACTGAATATATCCACTCATCCACCTATTTATTTATCCATCCATACATCCATCCAATATTAGCCTCTGAGCTACATGACCCTTGAGTATTAAAAAGCTGATTTTTATTGATTAGTCTAGCTCAGTGTTACAGCTGAGCATCATGGGTGCTCAGGTCAGGTCGCTTGCGTTGGAAGAAACTGACGTTGTACATCAAGCTCTGCAGGATATAGTCAATCAATGGACGAGAGCCATTAGCAGCAGCTCTGAGCTCAGGTTTAAATCATAAAGCCGCTCGTGTTCTCAGATCACATCCTTCAACACCTGTCACCCTCCTTTATTTCTCTCCAACACCGTCATCCTGCTGAGAGACCTGGAGCCCTCAGCGTCTCAGTGTGAGCAGGATGCGGCTCACATCATCCACAGGAGGCGACTGCATCCTGGTGGCTCGACTAATCACAGGTGTCACAGCTGGAGACGGGGGGGCTCTCTGATTGGATGGCAGGAAATTGATTGAGGTTAGAATCAGGGAAGGAAAAAAACGCTTGCAGACGCAATGGCTCCATTTCACTGGAGTTTCCATCCTGGCTCAGAGAGGGCAGGGCGGGGCAGCGTGTTGAGAAGCTCCAGGATGTGTATTTCCTGACCCTCTCTCCTGGAGGCCTCTGTTGTGATTGGCAGCTGCTGGGTGCAGAAGAAGGGCAGTGATGATAAGAAGAAACAGAATAAGATCAGGGCGGCACAATCAGATCTTCCATTCAGAGTGCGGGGCTGTGTGAGAGAGGCCATCAGTCGCAGTGTTAATGAGCTGAAGTGTGCACATTCACACCGAGGATGACAGTTGTGTGAGTGGAACTCTCGGGGTTGTGTGTGTCGTCTCGGCTGGGGAAACTCAGGGGGAGGTTTGTTGTTCCGGGTGGGACTGAATGTGACAGGCCGCTCTCCAAGAGGCTCACGGATGGCTGCCTGATGTGCTGCTGTTGTCTTGGCAACAGGTTGTTTGAGACCCATCCCGAGTGCAAGGACGTCTTCTTCCTGTTCCGAGATGTGGAGGATCTGGAGAGGCTGCGGACCAACCGTGAGCTGAGGGCGCACGGCCTACGGTCAGTCAGCGCATTTCACAGCACATAATGAATCAGTGAAAACACAGCTCTGTGCAGTGGACAGGGCAGGAGAGCGTATCAATATCCTCCCACCTGTGGTCTCGTCACACTGAGAGATCAAAGCATCACAGTCAGTCATCGATGACCATCCAGCCACTACGCACATTTCAATCTGCAAGGCTGGAGCTGTCATGTCTTTTCTTTATTGTTACCAAATCCTTTAAAACAACAACAAGGTTTTAGTTTCTGACTTTGTTTCTGTAAATCTTTAGAAACAGCTCAAGCATGTGTTCTTTTAGTTTTAAATAAGCTGCAATCTTTTCCTCTGACGACTGGCCCTGTAGATTTCATTCACTTTATTAAAACAGGTGTAAACTGTGTATTTGTCAGGGACTATTTTTCAGCTGCGGATTAATACAGTGACTTTTCCGACAAAATTGGGTTTTGTTACAATAGAGGACAATGATCCTGGAGTGGTTTGTACTCTGTCAACATTTCATTTGTATTATTTCGACTTGGAGTTGGAAACTTTAACCAGTTTTCTTAATTTTGGCATTGTTTTTTTTTGTCATCATCACAGTGCACTTACTCCTAAATTCTGCATAGGCACACAACATAATATTACATAAACTGCCCTTGACATAGGCGACCGTCAGATGACCCCGAGTTCCCCTGTGTGTCCCAGAATTCAATCCAAGCCAAATGTATGTTGATTTGATATCAAATTTTACACTCGAGTCATCAGCTCCTTACAACAAATCAGAATGTTGCTCTGGATGATCTTTTCTTTTCTTGTTTTATTTGTAGAGCCCATATTCACAAATCACAATTTGTCTCTTAGGGCTTAACAAGGTGTGACACCCTCTGTCCTTAACATTCAACAAGAGTTGAAAAAAAATTCCTGGATCCTGATCTGCACCAAGGAAATCGGTACCGCCGTTTCTTTGCGTAATCCTGCTGACTAACAAACAGACAGGGGCAGAAACAGAACCTTCGTGGCAGAGGTAATGATAAAGATGAGTAAAAAGAAATATTTAGCAGTTGGCCTATGGGTTAGGGTTAGAGTGGGCTGGTTTTTGCAAAAGGTTTAGTTCACATGTGGGGATCAGGCATTAAGTTGTTAAGAACACCTGCTGGTAGTAAAATAAATTGGCAGCTATGCATCCTGGGATACAGGTAGAGCGGGTTGGAATCACTGGTGTACACTGATACAAGATGGTGAACACAGGATTATATATATATATATTTATAATGAAGGAACACATTGCAGTGCAGGAGCAAATTGATTTTCTCATTATGGTTTTGTGGAGCTCTATGGCACAAAAGAACAACAGACTCCTCTCATGGAGATTATTGATCAGGCTTGTATCTTAATGAAACAAGAAAGTATGATAAAACCATGTTGCACACGGTGGATCAAACACACAGCTAGTCATGTGATTCTAGTATAATTTCCCACTCTGCTGCAGAGAGAGGTCATAGCATGTGTCACACGTACTTATCTGTTGTTTCCCAGGGTGCACCGGGCCTCTCTGTGTTCCTCCACAAGGCCAAAACAGTCAATTACTGCCCGAGGACCTGAAGGCACAGAGGCGAGTGAGCGCTGACAGAACGTGTCACGAGAAGGCCAAGCGGCTCTCCGGCCACGATCAGATGGTGGCAGCTAGACAGAGAGAAGACAGAGATAAAAATAACTGTCTTTGTTCAATAATTCATCTTCAAAACTCTCACACACACAATAGAGGACAGAGACACCTGGCAAGCAACAAAGGAAATTGATCCTGTTGGGTTTTGTGTAGAGAAAAACGTTTTCAGAGGAAAATGATCGTGCAATCAGATGGTTTTGCAACAAGTGTGAGAATGATTGATAGATATACGATCAATTTCATTTCTTCTTCTCGGCATTTGAGTTTGTCAGACTACAAGAGTCCTGGTGGTGTGTGAGTTTCATGCAAATTCATGATGAACTGAAGTCAATCAGGCTGTGAATTGTTTTTCTTCCAGGGTGATGTCGTTCATAGAGAAAAGCGTGGCGAGACTGGATCAGCTGGAGCGACTGGAGGCTCTGGCTCTGGAGCTGGGGAAAAGCCATTATCACTACAACGCCCCTCCGAAGTACTACAGTGTAAGACCCTGATACTCTGAGTACACGTGTTCTAATTTCTCTGCTACTGCAGCTCTTATTTTACTGAGACCCAACAGCAGCTGGATGAAACACACTCCACTCTTATAAATAACAGTGTCAGGGATAGAGTGACACCAACTGAATGTTACCCTAGTAACCACGGCACAAGCAATGTCATCAAGTGTCTCCAATAATTATTTTCCAGTACGTCGGAGCAGAATTCATCTGTGCCGTGCAGCCCATCCTGAAGGAGAGGTGGACAGCCGAGCTCGAGGAGGCATGGAAGGTAAGCAGACGTGTTACTGTGCTTCTTCTTTACGCAGCCACATCAGCAAGCACTTCTGGGTAAAAGTCTTGTGAGAAATGGGCTTGATGTGTGCAACCGGCATGTCAGCAGCGACGGCTTGTCATCAGAGTCGTGCACGTGCCTGTAATGCGTTGTGTGACACATCAACATGGGGAACCAGCGCAGCACCAGCTTGACTGATGTGAACGTTTACATCCCACTGAACCACATTCATGAGCATGTTGACAAAACGGAACATGGCTCTGTCACATCCTGTTATGTCACTGCAGCGTCTCCTGTGTTATTAATACAGAGGCACTGGATTAACACTGCTGCTCCACAGAGGTGCCACACAAAAATTAGTATTAACTACTATTATTAGCACCTTTTCATTTATGACAATGGAGTCACAACATGTGAGAGGATTAAGACATTATTTACATGTGGAAAAACACATACAAGAGTAAAGCTATATAATCTATAATTGAGATTAAGACCAGATTTAAAAATGGAATCAACAGTAAAGCTAAGACTAAGAAAAACTGTAAAATTACATATATATACATATATATATATATATATACACACAGTACAAAGTAAAGTGAATGAGACAATATATATGTGTGTGTGTGTGTGTGTAACATGTAAAATTAAGGTTACATTTCTCTGTCTTGGTTTTTTGTTTCCATTAATGGACTCTACTGCTCCCTAGTGGTTTCTCTATGGTGGAATTTAAAACCAAATAAAACCTGTTTCTCTCATATGGTGAGTTTTAGTATTAAATGGTCAAATACAAAATGTGCATACAACTTTATGCATTACCATAAAATTAATCTTAAATTTCAATTGAGCAACACATATTGTATCTTTAAACACGTCTCATATGGTGTTCACCAGATTTCCCCTGACTTTGTTTCATATTTATGAACACTTAAAAAATATACTCACGTATTTCTAATGTCCCTTCTGATCGACCAGAGGACACAGACAAGCACTGTGTTCATTAAAATCCATGTTCACTATGAATGAGCGTCTTTCACCTAATGTGAAGCCTGATCCAGTTGCATGTGTGTTTGTGATCCAGACCATGTTCCAGTATGTGACCAGTCTAATGAGGCAGGGCTACCAGGAGGAGAGCAGCCGACAGCGCCACCTCACACTGTCCCCGCGGGACAGACCGGAGAGGAGCAACACAGCGTTATGAGCTTCTTCCCTCAACGACTCGGACTGATTCTACCACCACAGCACAGAAATGCGTCTCTGTACATACTGTATTTACTGTCTCGTTTTCTACGTCGCTCTTGTTTACCAGTTACTGTTTGCTATTCTATCAAAAAATTATAATCACACTTTGAGTTTTTAACAATGCACTTTATTTCCGAATGCAACTTCTACTGCGGTCCTCTTCCATGAGATCTGGACTCGGAGCATGGTGAGACAACACAAACGGCTGACAGAGTATAATGGCTGCGGCTCAACCTGCCTTGTTAATTGTGATGAACAGAAATGAATATTATTAGATTTACAGCCAATACTGTGTCTCTGTATTCATAATTCAAAAAGGAGTTTCAGTAAACCTACAACTTTATATGTTTTTTGTGCTATTAAACTCTATCATGATATCATACACTTGGAAATAATCACATTAACTGAAGATAAACTGTACGTTTTATCTGTGTTTTACAATTTAAGACGTCCAGTTTGAAAGCTTGGCATTAGTTTGTGGTTCGAAAACAAGGGGGCCCATGAGTATAAGTGAAATAAAAACGTAAAAATACAATTTCATCTCCTAAAAAAAAAAATTCAAGCCAGATGAAATACATTGAAGTTTGTCAAAGTAAAAACAAACCTGATTAAATTTAGTTCTGTTTTGCTGTGGACCCATGATGACGTTTCAAAGCATGAAAAAAAATATCTAAATAACTGGAAAATCTAAAATCCTTCTCAAATTGAAACATGCCAAGGCAGCTCACAGGTGAGCCTTCAATACAACATAAATAGGGACGTTTAACAATTAAATAGTATGAAAGGCAGTTAATCATTAGGCTCCGAGGATTTGGCTCCAGAGGTGACACGGCTGCTGATGACCTGGTTTCTGAAGCTGGAGCTGAGGAGATTCACTACAGTTGACCTGCTTTGTCTTGTTTCGAGACATCCTCACGTATCCTGATCCAGATCAGCGATGGCACTGAACAGCCAGGGATGAGACGTTACCATGCAAACAATGGCGTGATATCAAAGCAGTCACCGGGTGGATGAACAGTGATTCTGAGGCCTCTGGTGATCATAGAAAGCGGAGGCTGTTCCCATTTCCCCCACTGAACGTACAGGCCAGTGTAGGTTATCCAAGGTCATGTTTTAAAGAGTCTGTTGCTCATTGGGTGGCTTTGGTTTTCTTGCTTTTGCTTTTCTTATCTTTCTTCTTAAGTCCATCCATGTGAGCTCTAAGGAGATTGGAGTACGCCTGAGGAGGGAAGATGACACATGTAGCTCATTTGTCCAAGATAAACAATTATGAAACAGGACATGATGATCAATATATTTCTCTATAACACAAAGGGAACAGAGTCACAGGGTAACAGCCTCTAAACAATTAAAACATGACACGAGCTCAACCCACCATTTGAAACTTGATTACTTCTTTGGTGCTGACCTGAAATTACAAGAAAAGAAAATTCAGCATTAAAACCTTGTGGAAACCATTAAGAGCAACAGATCGTTCACATTAAAACATGAGAAAACCATATAAACTCACCACTGTGCTAATCTTCTTCTTGCCTTCAGACGCTCTGATGAGACATTTGTTGTCTGCGGGTTCAAACGACTCCGTGTGGCCTTTTCTGGGCACTGGCTTGGTCCTGCCGTCATCTGAACGTAGTGGACAAGCATCACATTAACTCATCACAGTTCCTTCCTGATATAACGTGAATGATGGCTGACAACACCCAGGAGGAGCACACTTACATTTCTTTAGTGTGATGACAACACTGCCAGATGTTCTGCACTTCTGGAAGAGTCGCGTGAGCTCAGTGAGGAACTGAGGAACACAGAAAAGACTCATCTTAATGTTCCAGTTACATTTAAACAATTCTATCCGAAATTGAATGTAGATAGAATAAATGATGACATGTGCTGAGACATCCATGAAGATCATAATGTGTGGGGTTCAGTTCTGTTCAAACTGGTTTTAAAGGTGGTGGATTATAGTCTGAATCAGTTTTAACAAAGGTGTGTCACATAGTGACCTAAATAAAGTGCCATGTTAGGCTCGTGGTATCGGTTTTAGTCAGCTAGTATTTAAGAAAGCAAATAAGAAAAACACAACACAGCAGCTGTTCTGTTAAAAAACCATTTGTCTTGGATTAGCTGACGCGACGTCCCTGTGCTAACTCAAAGTTTGACTGACGACAGCTACATTTCAGTTCACGCACTGAACAATGAGTATTGGAATAGACGCACAGAGTTTCTAATGAGCTTTACACCATAAACACCAGCGAGAGAATAGCAATAAACAAGGAAGTAAAGGATCTGAACCATTTTCCAGCCCAACTCTAAACCAGCGTTAGCCTCAACCTAACGTTAGCAACCTGGCTAATGAGTCAGTTTGACGACTAGCTATTCGATCGTTGATGGGATTAGCCTGCTAGCTGCTAGACAGCTAACACAGACCGTTTGTATGTGAGCATTCGTCGACACAGTGGAGTGAAGTGGACACAGTGAGTTTTAGGTTCTTACCGAGTCGTTTTCGAGCAGCACCATGTTTCTCACTTCAGCTGGAGCCTCGCTTAGCCGCAAGCTAACTGCTGGGAAGCACACGTACTACACAAGCCGGAGCCCCGCCCCGCGCCCTCACCGCGGAGGAGGGGGTTTAGTCACAGCGCCACCTGCTGCCTGGGAGGAGGACTAGCGTGCGCACACATCAGTCATACTGCTTCATACTGCTAAGGGGGGTATATACTGTTTTGGTATATTGTTGATGTAATATACACCTCCTTTTATATCCACCGGACACCTATGATATAATATTAATATTATAACATGAGCTTAATATTCCTCCAGCTGTGTCCAGCTGTGGTTGCAACATAACTTGTTTTTAAAGCATCAAGAAGAAGCACATACTAATCATATTGTGTCGAGATTGTGTCAAAGTAATTCTTTCTAGGTGATTATGATGAAAAAAAAACTAGGATGACACTTTTGTAGAGCACATACCTCCACCAAGGCTCAGCAAGGCATCAAACTTCACACATTCACGGATCAGTTCCCTAAACATGTGTTTTTTTTAATCAAGAGGCAAAACTGTGAAAATGTGAAAAAATAACTCATATATGCTCAACCTCACATAGTTAAAGATCTTGGATATTAACAAACAAACAAATGGACAGGGGTCAAAACATAACCTACTTGCTTTGGAGGTAATTAACAAAACCAAATTGTACTTTTTAAAACTAAACTTGTAGACAATATCAACCATTATAAATCTCATGATTTTTCTTTCCCTGAGAATTCTGCGTGAGGTTAATGCAAAAAATAAATGTAACACAGTCTCTTTGTGCAACTACCAAAAACTGTTGTTGCAGCTAAGTACATCAGGTTCAAATCCTGGTGCTACAGTCCGGTTTTAAAGTCCTGTCTTGGCCAACATTACCATCCAGACACATATAACACAACTGATGTTTCAGCATTCAGTCAACCAGCAGCAAAAGGGCACCTCCACCCATCATCAGTGAAGGGAAACTCAAATATATTTCATTTATTTGCAGAAATCACATAGATATTTATACATTTTAATTATTAAAAAGTATATTTATTTATCAAACATTTTTCAGTAAACACTGGAGGACTGCTGAAAAAAAAACTTTGCTATGTTATTAAAACGTATTTACAGTTAAAAGCATATCAATTATTAACTGGTGATACAGTTGCATACATAGATGATGTGACAACAAGCGATGAGTTAAAATACAACATTAATGACTGTTTTCTTTTTTTGTGGAGCTTCAATCATGTGTCATGTTGACAATGCACAGTCTGGGTTGTTCCCCAGGTCGTTGAGGTACACAGCAAACTCAGAGAACCAGTCTCTGTCAAAAACCGCCCTGAGCTGCCCCTGCAGGGCCTTGGTTCTCCATACAGGGTGAGGAGCATGCTGGGAAATGACCAGCCCCACTCCAGCTGTGGTAAGAAAGTAGTCCCCTGACCAGTTGGACGTACCTAGAGCAGCAACACAACGTTATCTGGTCAATTATTAACTGATTCACATGCAAAGAATAACCTAAACACACAAGTGCACAAGAGTTTAACTGAGTGTCGAAATAGAAATTCTGACATGAACCTGTTACTCACCGATGTAGGCGACTTTATCTGTCACCATGTATTTGTTGTGGTTGACTCTGGTGTAGGGAATATCAGACCGGTTTCCCACAGGCAGTATGAACAATTTCTGGAAAGACACACAACCATATATAAAAGAGACAATTCAGCTGTGAGGAGTTAGTGTTTCCCTCAACTTTTGTGTCACGTTGTGTCTTACAACTTGAATGTTGATGCCATGGCGAGGGCTGTCCATTGCAGCCAGGGACTCAAGGAAGGGCATTATGGCCGGATCAGAGTCACGTCCACAGCTGATCAGCATCCGGATCCTTACCCTCCTCTCGAATGCAGCGGTCCTGAGGGCCTCATCGATGAACGGCCAGTATCTGTTCCAATCCAAAGACACAAAATCAAGCAAAAGAGCTGCAATAGAAGTTTAGAATAGAAGTTTTCTTTAGGGTTTACCTCAGGGGCTTTAAAAAGCGTGTGGTGGGGGAGTACTCCATGACAGCTACATCTATATAGTGTTGGGCCTCTGTGATGATGGAGAGAATAGCCTCCAGGTCCTGTGTCCTCGATGAAGGACAGAATGATGGTGGAGAACTCTGCAAGGAAAACAAAAATGGAATAACACTTTCAAAAACACTTCCTTTATTGAACATTATTCCAGAGTTTGTGTTTTGGCTTAAACTGTGTGGTCACTTCACTGTAAATAGCAACCTACCATCAGATCAACAGTATCCAGGAATAAGGAAGTGAAACTTAAGGAACTCACTGAGAGGTAAATCCTGCTGGAGACATTGTCGGCTTCCACCATGAGGGGGTGATGTTTGTTGATGTCAGTGTCATACTCTGAGGGCCAGCGTTGAGGCAGCGAGCTGTTGGATTGTCCCATCACCCAGTAAGACTTGAAGATCTTATACAGGTCCTGAGCTACACTGGAGCAGTTGTAAATGACCGCTCCGAGCTCCTTCACCTGCAGAGCCAGAAGGTAGACTGTCCCTTTAACGTTTCAGTGGTGGGATGTAACAGTACATTTACTCCATAAAAGTACCTAAGTACACGTTTCACCAATCTGTAGTTTTATTTTGTTTTTATGTTTATTTTTGGTATTTTTCAAGTTTTCTCCACGTCAGGAAATACCTCTTCTTTCTACTCCACTACATTGTAACTGTTATTTATAGGTGAAGAAACACCTGAAATGCATTTGGAAGAGGCGACCTCCGAGACGCAGCTATAATAGATTGCTGCATCAGTGAAAAGTCTACACTCAGCATATGTATATTAACATTAAGTATTTTAAAGTGTGTCCAGTATTTAAAAGCAAGTAACATCTTATTTTTTACACAAGTACTTAAGTGCATGTTTGTCTATTTATTTTTACTTTTACTTCAGTAAATTGTTTCAGTACTTCCTCCATCACTGGTTTCAGTACTTCCTCCATCACTGGTTTCAGTACTTCCTCCATCACTGGTTTCAGTACTTCCTCCATCACTGGTTTCGGAGTTGAAAATCGTCACCCATCATTTTAGGATGTCAACGTAACTAACGTCTGAAATGTTTATTGCAGCAGCAGAACATTTTGGTGTCTGACTTCATCACTGCTGCAGGTATGTTTACATTAATATGAAGGGGGAGTGATGAGCAGACATCTTGAATCCCTCTGCTGGAGGCTACAGGTGGATGCTGGGGTGGTGGAGGGGCTGAATGGACAGGCAGTGATACTGACGCATGGCAGCAGAGGCACTGACAAGCAATGGGAGTGATGGGAAATCTTTGCAGCTTAAACAGACCACCACACTGGGCGGGGGTGTGGGATTGTGGAGAAGGAGGTGTGTCACATGATAAGAGCAGTGCAGCTCGAGGTGAACTAGCTCTATTAGTCTTTTTCTGTTTTACCTGTGTGAGAGCTCTCCAGTCCATGTTGGCGCTGCCGATGAACACGTGTCTCCTGTCAATGATCCAGAACTTGCTGTGGAGGACGCCATTTGTCAGGCGGCCAAAGTCCACGTTCCTCACCTGAACCCCTACAGAGATCAACAAGTTGAGGCTTTGTAACTTAAATGCAATGAACGTAGAGTGTAAGAAAAATCAGGGTCAGTTCCAAACCTTTCTCTTGTAAGACCTTTAAATCTGTGGAGTTGTTCCTGACTGTGGGAACACTGGTCACCACCCGGACAGACACGTTCCTGGAGGGCAACTCCTCAAGGTCTTTCAGGAGGTTCTTTCCCTGCCAAGGACGAAGGGGACGTATTAAAATCACTCTCAGCATAGACCTGAGAGAAGGTTTGATGTTTTCAAGTTTTCGTATTTCTTTCCCTCTTGTATGATTACTCACAGGAATGTCAGAGGAGCAGTTAATGTTGATGTCCTCCCCAGTTAAAGTCCAGTAGAAGGAAACCACAAGAACCTCGTCCGTTGCCATGGAGATAAGATCTTTCCAGGCTTGTTCCAGAGGGATCCCATGCGTCACGTTGCCTTTATATTCCACATGTTGGGGAATGCTCTCCACGAGGTCCATACTGGGGGATATAAGACAAGGACGTGTGTGTGTGTGTGTGTGTTTGAATCCACAGGAAATTGAACTGGAGAAAATTGTGGTGCAACTTAGAGAAACTAATCTTCACTCATGAAGTCAGCAGATGTGGCTTCTGCATATTCAGTGGGTTAACGTGGAATTTTTATAATTCCAAACTTTGTGACTCAAAAAGAGAAGAAGCCTGAGATATCTTATCAGGACTTATGTTTTTAAATATGTTCTTTTAAAGCCCCTATTAAAGTAGTTTACTTAGATTTTATTCAAAATATTGACAACCTTATCATGAATATTAGACCCAACTTGTTTTCATTACTTATTTAACCTGGGTATCCTTACTGCAAGTGATTTGCACTCATTTATATTAATATTCATCCAATGAATATTATACGATTACATTTATAGCATGAATGTAGTATAGTATTTATCATATTGAGTATTTCAGTGCTTAAATATTTTCACTTTGAAAAAGTATTTAGTGAGTGAACGTTTCAGTGGCTCTTCCTATTATCTGCCCCTAGTGGCTGTTTTGGGTGCTTAGCCATGTTTGAGGTAACTGAACAGCTTCATAGGATCATTACCTGCACTGGTCCGTGGAGAAATTGCTCCCACCAGTGTCCCCCGGAAGTGTCCCATGATCTTTAGGCGGAGAGGGTCTCTCCAGGACGGCAATAGCAATTAAAACCCCTAGGACTGTCAAACAGCCCAGGAGCACAGCAAGTGACACACAGCTGGTCGACTTCTAACAACATGGTGTTAAACAGTTAAACAAAACAATTCTAAGTAAGAAAAGTATCACATGAAACAGTAACTAGTTTAGTGATGGTTTGATGGAGCCCTACCCCGCTGTCTGGAATATCACTGTCATCAAGTCTTCTGTACGTAGACATTTTTCTTTATATGCACTGCTCGTCTGTTAAAGATCTAAAGCAGGAAATGATCATGTCAGAGAGAAAATAAAAATATGAGACATTAAATAAATAAAATACTTACACAAAGAAGATGCTGAAAACAATAAGCTTATTTCCTCTT